TTTTGCCCACTTCCTGCACTTCCCACTAGCCCATTAGCTCCCAGATAAGATCTAGAGAGCCTCATAGGGTCAAGCCTAATTATGCTAAGAGGACTGTGCCCTCTAAGCTGGGAATTGTTTGTGACTTTACCAACAGGTCAGTCTGAGGCTTAACCCTATATCAGCTCCCCACAACAAAACTCAGTGGCTAGGATGGCCAAGTGATGCTGGCAGGCCTGGGGGTGGGTTTTGCTTGGCCGGCCTGGGTCGAAAGGGCCCAGCCCAGGCCCTTAGTCCTGCGTCTGTTTGTTACGGGCAGGCGAGCAAGGCGTTGGGGGGTGTGACTCCTGTTGTTGGAGGCTGAGAACTGTTAGCCACTCATCTCTTCACGCGCTCATTCACCCCTTCGCTCATGTTCCTGCACAGGCCTGCTGTGTCCCAGGCACTGGGGATACACCCGTGAGCAACTTACTCAGAGATCCCTGACACGATGGAGTTTACAGCCTGTCAGGGGGAGACAGCAGAAAACGAGAAGTGTCATAAATTAATAAATACACGACCTGGCATGTGAGAAGGAGATCTTGGCTGTGGGGAAAAGCAGGGCATGGTCAGGGAAGGGGGAGGGCGGTGGGTGGGGCGGTGGGGTTGCTGTTTGGCCAGAGAATTTGAGAAGATGGCCTTTAACCAAGTAAAGGAGTGAGTCATTTAGCCCTGGCATTCACTCACTCACTCACTCACTCATTTATCCATTGATTAATCCATTCATTCATCAGACGGATGCAGATTACCTATTACACACCTGAACCGTCCTGGCTAGTGGGGATGTGGGAAGCGATCGTTGTCAGTGGAGGACTGCTGGAGGTGCGGGCGGCGGGCGCGCCCAGGTTGGCTGGTTCTGGCTGCACCAGGCGAGGACCGGGGCTGGTGACGTAGCCTGTGCCCCTGGTAAGGGGCCGATTGCAGTAATCCAATGAGGAGGATTTTCAGGTCTGAGGATTCAAGGGACCTTTCTGAAGCCCTGCAGGTTGGAAGTGACCCTGTTGAGTTGAGAAAGAACCGGCTCTCTTGGCCCCTGGCCCCTGCACCAGGGTATGGATGGAAACACTCAGAATCCCTCCATGGCCATCCTCCCCTCGGGACTGGCTGGGACCCCAGGGATCTGGGAGTTGGTGGGGCTGAGTCAGCGAGTGAGGGGTGGGGTGGTGACCCGAGAAGTGACAACACTTACGTAGGCCGGGCGGGCGTTTCTAGAAGCCCAGGCCTGCTGACCTTTAAACATTCCAAGCTCAGACCTATGCCAGGACCTTTATGCTGGCGCTTTCCTCTGCCTGATCTCAAATACCTGCCCCCCCCTTCCCCCGCATCACATCACCCTATTGTACTCCCTCATGACATCACTCTCTGAATTTATGTTTGCTTGTTTATTATACGTGTCCTGTGGGGTGGCCTACCGGCTCCGTGAAGGCAGGGGCTTGGACTGTCCCACATCCCACTGTATGCCTCGCACCCCAAACATACTGGGGCATCAATTGGTGCGGGAAGGGAACGGATCAGTGGGGTGCAGGGGGTGTTTAGGGCATGTTTCACGCCTGTGGGGCGTGTGCAGGGAGGAGAAGAAGGAGAAGCAGTGGGGTGATCGGTCTGTCCTGGCCTGCGGGCTAATGATGGGAGGCAGGAGGCCCGGGGAGGAAATGAGCAAAGTTTCAGGAGAGCCTGGGATGAAGGAAAATCTCGTTTGACCAGGGGTTATGCTGACGAGCCCGTGAGCAAA